AGCCCAGCCATTCCCAGCTGGGGATGGGCGCAATGGCTCTGGGACGGAAGGGCCAGGGCTGCCCCCCGCCCGGGCAGAGAAACCCCCCCGGCCCCTACCAACACGGCTGCAGGGCACAGAGGATGCAAAACCTGCGCGCTGTCCCGGAGGAGCGGTATTCCAAACCCCCACCACGGCGAAGCGTCCCTCCCTCACCTTCCGCACACACTGCTGAAGCCAGGGTGGGAGAGCGGAGAAAGGAAGCTGCATGAAGGCCTTTTTAAGAGAATTTTATTTGAGTGGTTCTTACAAAGATTGTTGCAATATGAAAGTCTTTGTTTTGATAGAAATATCAAGCTGTCTTGTCAAACACACTGAAGTAACCCAAAAATATATTTCAGAGCTCACAGAGCTTAAAAAGAGCAAAGATTATATGCAACCAGAACAAAACACGTTTCTGTATTTCCTACTGATTTTCAGACTCTGCTGAAATCCTTCAACTGTGCCACAGCGCACACACAGAAACTCATCTGGAAATGCAGAGATCGTTTTGTTTGGAAACTTGGACACACCTCACACAGTATTTACAAAGAAACTTTTACAGATACATTAATCAAAAGTTACCATCAAGAAATAAAACCCTTCAATCCTTCTATTCTTACCAGTTATTCAGCACAAAGCGAGCCCAGCGGCTGTCCAGAGTCACTTTTCAGTAGCCTTTTGAGGTTCCATTTATACAAAACACTAAATATGTCCCTTCATGAAGTCTGTCTCCGATATTAACCTTTAGCAGATCACCTACATTTAGTGAAATGTAAAATGTAATTGCTGCAGTAAAAGAAAGGCTCGTGAAACATTAAAAATGCCATTATGTCCCATCTGCCTTTTACAGAGAACTTGGTTTCTATGAGCTACTTCTCAGTCCCTACAGATCACCTTAGTAAATGTACAAGAATTACAAGGCAGAACAAGAAGTCAACAGCTTTGTATACAGTGGAAATGCTAGTTAGGGAGAATGAACACACTGCATTTCTGCTTACTTCATTTTATTTTTAAAGGTAGCAGGAAGTGTACACAAAATGACATTAAATCCTTTCCTTTAGTTTTATCTAAATAAAAGATAACTCAATCTTCCTCCAAAAAATAACTATGTACAAAACTGACTAAATCCATCTTCATCGTCGAACAGGAACCAGTAGCTGGGTTGCAGTCATAGAGTCTGGGAAAAGGCTGTGGTACGTTGGAAGAGGTACATATGCTGCCGTGATCATTTTACCTGAGCAGAGGAGTTAAAAAGGAGAGAGAAAAAATAAAAATCAGTATTCGGTCAGTTCTGTAGCTGATGAATAGCCCCAAGTCTCCCCATGAAATCCACTCACCTGCAAACCACCTCCCATGCAACGCGTTTACGGCTGCAATGGCAGCAGCAATCGAAGGACATTTGACGTACACGTTGCCCTGCAAGGCAGAAGCGTTACAGCCCGTTAGCGCCTCGACAAACGTCCCACATCATCAAAGCTGCCTCGCTACCCTCCTGCTGCGACCAACTGCCCGTGCAGACTGAGCGTCAGAGAACGGAGCTGCGGACAGCTTTTCACCTGCACGCACTACCGTACCCCAGCAGCTATCTCGGCATGAAACTCTTCCAAACAGGATTTTGCCAAACAGACCAAAAATGAGCTTGACCTGCAGTCAGCAAGCAAAGGACTGCTCACCTGCTGGCGATAACCCTTCTCAGAGAGTCTCTGCCTGCTCCCGATTACAAACCTCATGCAAAACAGCAGAGCACGAGGAGTTTGGCCATCTCCACTGTGGGCTGGCCATGAAGTTCTGTAAATCACGAGCCGCAAGCCCTAGATACGTAACTAGACACGCAAGGTCACCGTCTGGCTTTCAGAGGGATTACGCGCTCCCTGTTCCAGGGGCAGGAAGGATGCTTAGCGCTTCAAGGCAGACCGGGACTCTGAAAATTCCCTTACACGAACTCCAGCATCTGCCTGTCTGTACTGGAGCAAGGACTGAGACAAATGGGAAAAACCCATCACAGCAGGGCAAGAAGAGAGCCTAAGGTGGCATCCAACGTGAAGGACAGGCTGATCTTTCAGCTTCCCCAGAGATACGTGTTCTATCTGAAGTCAAGCACAAACCCAGCCTAATCCAGAGCACTGCAACATTCATTCAACAACTGCAAGACACACGGCCCCCGCAGTAATGCATATGCATTGTTCTGGCTGCCTGCTTACAAGCAGACTCCCACCAGTACCTCTTGAACCAGATCAGATTCTAGCTGAAACAGACTTCACAGGAAAAGAGTATTTTTAGAAACAGAATCCAGCCTTCCCCTTAGCAGCCTTTGCCAGCCTGTACTAACTCTTCCCGCTGTGATTGAACTCGTCCCTTCCCCGGAGGGAAAGCGGAGGTCAGGGGCTGGCGTTGGAGGCACTGAGCGCTCAGCAGCACAGTTCTGCTCTCAGCCTCCCCCTGCACAGGCACCCAAGCTGCTCAGAGCCCAAACTGAGCCACAGCAACATCAAGCGTCAGCGTTCCCTAAGACACCACGGTGCAGACGGGTGCGGTGCGTGAGAGCACGTGCTCAGCTGCGACTGCAACCTTCCCACCCACCAGACACCACGTCCTCGCGGCTGCCAGCCCTCAGCCTGGGAAGCCTGGCTGGCTGGGGAAGAGCCCTAAAAAGGTGGGAGACTAGAACGCTCGACAGGTGACCTGACCAGGATCTAAGCCTGGAAAACAGAACAGCACAGTGGAAACCTCTGTTCAGACACAGTATTTCTAAATATCAGTGTGTGCTTTAGATCTGGGTCATCGCTGTGCTACTGTGACAAAATGGATTTCACTAACAGCTAACTCGCAACAGAGTAGCTGTCGTTTTTTCTTTTAAATCCACTTGCTAACATGAACCAGACTTGCAGCTCCATGTGCTCAGAAGGTAGGCGAGGTACACTGAGGGCTGTTGCCTTTTTTGGGGGTCGGAGGTCGTGGGTTTTGGGCGGTTTGGGTTGTGGGGTTTTGGTGTTTCTTCCTACGTCTGTTGAAGGACGCTTTGTTTTCTCTACGGTAGCAGCAGACAAATACACTGTGGGAAAGGCTCCTACGTCCCATCAGCCCGGTAGTCCAACGCAGCAGTAGTTCTGAAGATAAAAAATGCTAGAAAGATTGTATGTTCTTTTCTGTACTAGACTGCAGCCAATCTCATGAAAGGGCTGCAGACAACAAGAGTCTTCTAGAGAAGCAGCACAATGGTAGTGAAGGTTTGTGAGCGCCAAGCGCTTCACCAAGCAGAACAATCCCATGGCAGCAACGCTGGCAGGGACAGCAGTGCAGACCTGAGCCTCACACAGCGCAGGGTCTGATGGTTCCAAAGTAATCCAACTATGAGCGCGCTTGAAAACCGGACTGCAGTTTGGGCTGTGCATTCTATACAAGAGGGGTTCAAGAAGCCCAAACCTCTTTACAGACCTTCCCCAGTCTATATTCCAAGAGCTGGAACGCAGGGGAAGAGATAACCAGCCTGGGGATCGTGTAAACAAGGTGAACACAGAAGAAAAACCTATCGGCCATTTGAAGACGCAGCTGGGAGTCCCTCAAACA